AAGGTCACGTAGGTTTGGAAAAGCTTGGCAGTATTTATGAAAGATCGCGAATGGCAGCAGATATATATTTGATTGAATTTTTTATACCATCATTCTGACAGTACGACAGCGATTTTCTTCACGGCCAAATAACCTGAAAGACTCCGAGGAAGATCGCTGTCGAATTGCCAAACGTCCGTATAAAAATGATTGCTTTCTTCGACCAGACTACTATTGAATCCAACGCCATTGTGTCATGAAATATCATCAATTTATAAAATGCGCGACGCAGAATCAAGAAGAGTTTATGACGTCATACAATACCCTCAGTAATAATGTTTATCAGTTGTTAGTAACAGCCAATGTGAATTATATTTTAGCCATTATATAGCTACACCCATAGCAGAATATTTTTCCATATTATTTTAAATCGTCCTGATTTTGTAGGTTTTGCTCTTTCTGCATCTTTATTAACGTTTATTTAAGCAGTACGGCAGAATGCCGAAAGGCATCAGTTTTTCGTCCTAGCAATTAAATCGAACTGAATGTCACATCGAGGCAGCACATTGTGCGTTACAGTGTTTTTATCGATTACCTGTCCCAATCTCATAAACACATTCCTTTGTCGACAGAGCATGCAGCAGACAATTTTTCCTAGCGTGTTGCCTTGTTCTTTGGTAGCATTCAGGAACCATTACCTGTCGAAACACAAATTGCCCTCCTTGACCGACCTCTGTTCATAGTTACAGAGGGTAATCCTGCCTGAACTTTTCCTCTGATCCTAGCACGAAGTTTCGCTAACTCTCAGCGATTGCCATGCATCTTCAACAAGATGGCCGCTTAACTTCCAACGAGATTTTGTACGGCAATTCTGTGAGGCTTGTCCAGCTTTTGGCTTCCATAATTGAACTCAGGCACAGCACCTCGTCACCTCTGCTGCTTCTGCACACATTACGGTATGACTGGCGATTATCAAGTTTCAAAAATGATTATCAGAATGAAGTCGGTCACGACAGGTTCACCTCTTGCACTGCAACGTGAGTGAATACAGCTACTGGCAATACGTGCGTGTGATATGCGAAACATTGCCATTTCTTTTAGTGCAAGAGTCACGTATGTACCTATTAAATCGTATTCAGAGTCAACAGTTGTTTAACCTAAACAATGGATCCATTGAAATGCGATCGGAGACATGAATGACTGAGTTAACTCTCATATTCCTCAATCGATAGTACATGTTTACATTTTGTGATCTGCTACCAGGGTGTGGAAATATGCAAGACGATTGAGCCAGATGAAATGGATAATTGATACTGGAGAGAATACTGGTGCATCATTGCAGGACAAGGTCCTTCGACGCACAATGAGACTTCCTGGTCAGTACCTCAAAATTTAAAAGGCCACTACGTGCTGTCAATTAAAGTGGACGAAGCAGTATGTGAAATCAGAGATTCTTCAAACCGGGATTAGCCTTCAGCGAATAAGTATTATATACATTTGCTGGTATTTTATTAGCAAACTTAGAATGTTCCATGATTTTCTTTAATTAAATGTAAAAACATATTTTAGCCCCTATTTTACACCCGGTACGCATCGTCTGTTGACCATTTCGACAATCCTGGTAATCAGGAAAATTGATCACCTCAATCATGAAGATCTGGTCATTCAATACTTTTCATGATCGTAAACTAAGCTTGGAAGCGGTTTGATGGCTATTGGCTAATAGATCGCCAACGCATTTAAGACAAAAAATGTCTATCTAAGAAGCTGATACTCCATCTACAGCAGCGAACGCAGAAGGATCGCACGCCACAGCTTACTGTATTGATTACCATAGAAAGCATCCTGAAATAATTTCAATGTTTGCCGACTACAGTCTGACCAGAGAAAGATGCTTGAACTCAGACCTGAATGTAAATATAGTCACTGAGTATTTATTTTGACTAAGCCTGATTGATGTTCAATTCTTGCAGTGGCTGCGAAACGAGTAATCGAAGACACCGGCGTCCATTTTGCAAATATGTGCGTTTGCTTTGCGGGTTAAATTTAAAAATTTAACTTTCCACTATGTTTCATTTAAAGTTTTCAATTACTGTGAAAAATGTCTTGAAAAAATTTTCTAATGCGTCAAAACAGACGAGGAATATTTGGACTGGGCCAGTGCGTAAAAATAGTCTGATTCGATGACGATTTTATTGCTGTTTGACGTCTGTATAACAATTAATCGAGGCAGCTGTGTCTTTTTCTAAAACGTATGGGTTTGCTCAATGGATCGGATGTTTACTTGTTCAAATACGAAGTACCATATCCAATCCTGGACCTGTTGCTGAAATTACGTACGTTTGACACCACAGCTTTGCCATCATATTTGTAATTTTAACCTTTACAGTTCAAATTCCTCTCCTCATTTCGAGGTTCCAAATATTCTTATCAAATTCATAATGGCACCCCTGGTTTCGGTTATCATCCGGCTAGAGGACCGTTCATTGAACGTACAATGTTTCATCGCCAAAATTTACATGATTTACGTTATCAGAGGACCTGGAATTGACCAGACGTTCGTCTGACTGAGCCAGTTTCCCTCAGTACACTCGTGTTGTGCCGCATCGCCGCATATTTTATCGCAGTCTCTGATTTGCATACTGTGAGCCACATTCACAAAAGTATCTACCTCACTTACTTACTTGGCAAACAAGTCCTTGAACTGTCGGCAGGCAGCTTTGGCGACTGCGACTGCGCGGCTCGCCGCAAGGGTGATCAGTACAGGCATTTTTGTCGTGGCTGCGGTTGAGTTATAAAAGAGGAACGACGATCAGCTGCTGGCGAGGTCAGTCAGTGGGACAAGTGGACGAACGGTGCGATCGTGCCTAGGCGACTGAAGATCGAAGTTCGACGGACGAGTGTCGCTCTCTCTTCCATTACATGATTAAAACGCTGCACGGCAGGTGTCGGCCCGGCCGTCGGTCGACCGCCGCCTGCACTTCACACAGAGGAACACAGAGGC